AATTGAGAATGTGGGAATCTGTGAAATTGGAAATAGAGGAATTTCAAGCTCTAATTTAGATTTTAAATCCGATTTCATCATACCTAACAGGGTATTACAAATTACTCGGTTTAACAGTTTGAATACGATTGAAACGGTTCAACAAATCTCACACCAATCCGTGACATTTCAACTGCCACATCGAATTCCTGCTGAAAATCCGCTAAATCACCCATCCATCATTTAATACGAAGTACATCGAACCGTCAAATACCATCGTATTTATTTTACTTAATCAATTTTACGTATGGATTAATTCATTTGAAATTACCCTTTTATAAATATCAATAATGAAATGCATCCAAATTCGATGCATTATTATTTTAGGAACTCAAATGTCCCTATTTGTTCTGTTTCAAAAGTCCACATTTACAAATTGACTAAATTCACTAAATTTTTTAAGTCAATTTAAATAAATATATTTACTAAATTTATTAAATTTAATTCTCAAATTGAAATTATTAACTTACAAGCTCCACTATTTCTTAATGTATAAATTCCTAAATTACCAAAAGTGTAAAAGCTCAAACTTCCAATATTTCAGGCTTTCAAATAGAAAAATCAAAAAATTCTCAAATATCCAAAAGACAATCACCCACTAACTTCTACATTATTCCACAATTTCTATTCCTTTCTATTTTCCTAATACTAAAAAAATTACAAGAACCACAATACATCTTCACAATTTATTTACATCTCGCTCGTGTACAATTAACAAGTAACTAAAAAACAGTGCAAATATAAACAAGATTATCACTACAGTTTCGTGCGAGTCAATTGTTTCTCACTCGTCATATTTTTACATAACTTGCAATAAATATCTATAAATCTATAAATTACAACAAAAGCCAGCATCGATAATAAAAAAAATTCCAAGAAAAAAGCTTCGGAGCTGTCTTTCTGCAGGTAGAATACTGTCAAGTGCAAAAGGTTAGGTTCGTTTTCACAGAAAAATCGCAGCTACGTCAACGGCGGTATCATGCGCGTTTACACCGAAAGCACGAGGTAAACACGGTTCATTACTGCAGCAGCAGCATTCGTTATGTGCCTTTCTCGAAACGACGACCCTCCAGTGTTACTTGCACGGTTAATGTAAGGAGAACAAGGTCGCCGTGAACAACTCTTACGGCCTTCTTGAATAAATGAACAACGCGTCCTGCTGCCTGCGCGCCGGAAAAGCGGTTTCGTGATCCGCGATATCCAATGAATGCATCTCGCGTTCCATCCATTCCGGTAATTCTAGCTGGCAAACGACGAAACCGTGTTTGAAGTTCGTCGTCGACCGGCCAGGCCTGTGTTGGTTAGAACAGGCTGGAAATTCGGCGAACTTGCTCGGCAAAGCGAGCCTTATTTTGTTTTATTTGTAAACGCGACGATTTGCACTGTGAAACGAACTTCGCTGCTTCTGTTTGTGTTCCCGTTGTTTTTACTGCGAAACGCGGGATACAACTTTGTCGAGAAACGATCCGACCAAAGAAATACTCCCGAGTGGATTAGAAAACATATTAAAAAGAATGTGTCGAGAGTTCGAACGAGGATTATGGAAGTTGAACAATTTTAGAACGAATAAGTTATGAATTTCGAGGAAAGCGTTTACGAGGAATGAATTATTTATCAATTTTTACTTCGAGGAACTCGGTCGAATAATGAAAGCCGCGATAAATTCAGAAGGTTAGTAATTATTCAGAAGAGCATGAAATTTGATTTGATTCGCTTAATGATTCAAAGCAATACTGTAATCATTTTAAAATAGAATATTATTTCGAAAGTCTCTGAATTAAAAATTAATGAGTTCGAAAAATTTCACTTCGAAATTTTTGCTTTGACGTTTAGACTTTCGTTTGAAATGAAAATTCCTGGGTTTCAAATATTTGTACTCGACATTTGTGTAGCAAGTTTGAAATAATTCCGAATTAATACTGTATCAAGTAGATTCAGGGAAATTAAATTAATATTTTGATTATGGTCGACGATGTAATCAAGCAATTATACGCGAAAGAAACAAATGAAAAGTTTTAAATTACGTTAATTACGGATGAAACAAGTTTAAATCGGCAAATTAATTACAATTTTCTTGCTTCGTTACGTACGACCATTGTGTAATATTAATATCAAATAAATTACGCAAAATACCCAAACGCGTTGAAATTGGAAAACGAAACAGTCCCAAATAATTGCAATTATTATAGGCAGATTCTCTTTGAAACCTTGCAATCTCTTTAAATTTTTGAATACCAGCGCTATTAAATCAAATATTCTGTTCAAAATTGTTCATTCTCCATTGTTCCTTCACGAATAACGGATTTTATACAGATCGATATAGAACACTCACGTTATACAAAAGATTGTTGACGTTTATATTCGTCAACCGCTGAATCTCGTCGATCAAACTTCGTCTATAAAACATTTCATTGAGTTCAACGCGAATACGCGCGAACGGAGTGTTTACCGTGCTTGAACGTGTTCACGCATATCTTGGAGCCATCCAACACACGAGTAGCTAAAACACGACAAAAAATAAATCTAGGACGATAACAATAAAAGCGATTCGACGAACCAGGTGGGACGCGTGTAAATCGTTGATCAAACATAAAAAGGACGTGCAAAAACGTAGATAGTGCGATAGTGGAAGGACCGACAGGCTGCAGAATCTGCGCAGTATGCTATAAGTATTTACTTAAGACTTTGCGCACCGTGGAAATACGGATTCTGAAATTTTCAAGATCTTTTACCTTTTACATATGAATTTTTTAATTTCGCACTTCGAAATTTACCGTATTTCGATGTTTGTGGGGGAGAATTTGCAAGTTTTAATTTTTGGTTTTTAAGTTTTATGCTTTGCAAGTTTTAAATTTTCAAGTTACAGGTACAGAAGTTTCAGATTTTCGAGTTTTAGATTATCGAGTTTCAGATTCTCAAGTTTTAGGTTTTCAAGTTTCAAATACCCAAGTTTCGGATTATCAAGTTTAAGATTCTCAAGTTTCAGATTATCAAGTTTCAAATTTTTAAGTTTCAGATTCTCAAGTTTCAGATTCTCAAGTTTCAGATTCTCAAGTTTCAGATTCTCAAGTTTCAGATTCTCAAGTTTCAGATTCTCAAGTTTCAGGTTCTCAAGTTTCAAATACCCAAGTTTCGTATTATCAAATTTAAGATTCTCAAGTTTCAAATACCCAAGTTACGGATTATCAAGTTTAAGATTCTCAAGTTTCAGGTTCTCAAGTTTCAAATACCCAAGTTTCAAATTATCAAGTTTAAGATTCTGAAGTTTCAAATACCCAAGTTACGGATTATCAAGTTTCAGATTCTCAAATTTCAAATTCTCAAGTTTCAAATACCTAAGTTTCGGATTATCAAGTTTCAGATTCTCGAGGTTCAAACACTCAAATTTCAAATACCTAAGTTTCGGATGATCAAGTTTCAGATCCTCGAGGTTCAAACACTCAAGTTTCAACTTCTCAAGTTCCAAATTTCCAAGTATGAAATTTTTAAATTCTCAAGTTTCAAATTTTCTAATTCCCATTGTTCCGAATACTCATATTTCAACTTCTTCGGTTTCAAATTCTCAAATTTCAAGTTCTTAAGTATTACATTTCTAAATTCCCAAGTTTGAAATATTACAATTCCAAATTTATAAATTCCAAATTTTAGAATTTCAAATTTTCAAATCGTAACCCTTTGCACTCGATACACGACTCTCAGTCGCCATTCGATTTAATACAGCAATTCGAAATAAGCATTTTTCACCTAATTATATAATATCACATATGTGACATAAACATAATGAAACAGAATAATAAAAATTATTTGTTAGAGAAACAATCTTTCAAGTCGTAACCCTTTGCACTCGATACACGACTCTCAGTCGCCATTCGATTTAATACAACAATTTGAAATAAGCATTTTTCACCTAATTATATAATATCACATATGTGACATAAACATAATGAAACAGAATAATAAAAATTATTTGTTAGAGAAACAATCTTTCAAGTCGTAACCCTTTGCACTCGATACACGACTCTCAGTCGCCATTCGATTTAATACAATTTGAAATAAGCATTTTTCACCTAATTATATAATATCACATATGTGACATAAACATAATGAAACAGAATAATAAAAATTATTTGTTAGAGAAACAATCTTTCAAGTCGTAACCCTTTGCACTCGATACACGACTCTCAGTCGCCATTCGATTTAATACAACAATTTGAAATAAGCATTTTTCACCTAATTATATAATATCACATATGTGACATAAACATAATGAAACAGAATAATAAAAATTATTTGTTAGAGAAACAATCTTTCAAGTCGTAACCCTTTGCACTCGATACACGACTCTCAGTCGCCATTCGATTTAATACAACAATTTGAAATAAGCATTTTTCACCTAATTATATAATATCACATATGTGACATAAACATAATGAAACAGAATAATAAAAATTATTTGTTAGAGAAACAATCTTTCAAGTCGTAACCCTTTGCACTCGATACACGACTCTCAGTCGCCATTCGATTTAATACAACAATTTGAAATAAGCATTTTTCACCTAATTATATAATATCACATATGTGACATAAACATAATGAAACAGAATAATAAAAATTATTTGTTAGAGAAACAATCTTTCAAGTCGTAACCCTTTGCACTCGATACACGACTCTCAGTCGCCATTCGATTTAATACAACAATTTGAAATAAGCATTTTTCACCTAATTATATAATATCACATATGTGACATAAACATAATGAAACAGAATAATAAAAATTATTTGTTAGAGAAACAATCTCAAGCTAGTTCATTTAACTTTTTAGCTACTAAATTTGAAAGTTGCTTGTAAACAATAAAAATACCTTCGAGTCCAAAGGGTTGAATTTTCAAATATTGTAACTTCACAATTTCCAAATTTTATTTTGCATCCACAATAATTCCAAACTTGCAAATTCTCTCCTTTCAAGTCATATTTGCAGTTAAAAAATTTCGAAATTTCTATATCCCTAAATTTCCATGTACACAAATACCCTCAGAAATTGCTGCGTCGATCCCGATTACACTGGAATAAAATGTTGAACGATCTCCTCAGTACGGCGTTGATTGTTCGACGCGTGTTCGGATGGCTCTCTGATCTCGGAACGAGGTTGTAAGCATCGACATCGATATTTCAGTGTCTCTGATGTCCCCAAAGGCTGTCGGTTCCGTCCCCTTTTTTCATGCTGGTTCGATCGACCAGCTCTTTCGACGGTGTTTTCAGATTGTACGCCAAACCAACGCGTGCCATCAGTTCTATGAACGCTGTGGTCGGATTCAGGCTGTAAGCTCCCAGCTCGGCAGCCTTGTAGTCCCACGGGAAACAATGATGATAATTGTGCCAACCTTCGCCCAGAGCGAAGAAAGACACCGTCGGATTTTCCACTGGTTTCACCTGCCTGCGATATTTCGAGGGGGGATCGTGTGTTAAATCGTGCATGGGAAATTAAAAAAAATAAAATAAAATAAAAAATGGACGTGAGGAACGAGTTCTCGTGGAAGTTTTAATTAACCCGGTCCACGCCACGATCCTGAGCCCGTACCGGGGACCGTGGGTGTCGGCAGGGTATGGAAACTTGCCTGTTATACGGTCGATTTCCCCACATGTGAGCCAAACTGTTAACGATAAAAGTGGCGTGTAACGACCACACGTAGCGGATGAGCGTCGCGTAAACGCTTATGAACCATGTCTCGCCCCACATGAAAACTGGCAACAATGTCGGTTGAACGAAGCATAGCCACAACATAATGATCTCGTAATGCCTGTAACATCGTATGAAAACGTGTCAACGTACATACCCTTGTCTAATTTTTGACTACTTGTAAACTCAGTCTTTTGCATAGCCCTCCATAGGAGCGTTCACACCTTGCATTCTGCTTCTTCGAATATTTAAGTTCGAATTCTTGATTACTTCGAATATTATGTGTCTTTGAATAGAATTTGAATTTCAGTACTATCTGTTAAACGTACAGTCCCGAATTTCAAGTCTGTAGTTTGCCGGTACTCAATGCATAAATCGAATTATTCGAATAGTCAGAGTTTCACTCCGAGTTCCACGAGTATTCTTATATTCAAACTGTTAAAATTACTCAGATATTCGAAATTCAAATCATACCATTTAAAATTCAAATTGGAATTATCTGAATATTCATATTGCAAATTCAAATTATTCTATGAATACCTAAACATTCTACACTCATCAAGTTACCCAGATTTAATATTCCAATTTCGCATCCCAGTAAATTTGGAATTATCAAAATTAATCGGTCATTTCGAGCGTCAAATCTGATTCTACGGATATTTGAATCGCGCAAATCTTCCTTAATCCAATTGTTCAAACTATAACGCGAAACCTGTTTGGCATAACTGAACGATTGAAATACACGTATCGGTGTCATGAACGAGAACCATTCTATGTTTAATTACCCATGAGAAAAAGGGTCGATAGGACAGTTTAACCGAGAAAAGCATTATTGGCCTCTCGCTACTCGAAGCTTTCAGATGTAAATCGTGTCTTTTCAGAGAAGCGTTTCGACGTTTCATCTACGGTACACGTTAGCTTGATTCATCGGAATTCTGAAGATACGTTGATTCAATGTACGACTACGTCAATAGTACGGACAGAAACGTTTGATTTACTCTCGTGTGCTTTTCAGCTTCAATTAACTCAAAGGGCGAATTAGTCCGTTAATACGCTTTTAATGGAACAGCAAATTTGTATGGCATTCGTGGGACTTTATTAAAATTATTCAGAAAACGTGTCCACGTTCATTAAAATTACGTTTGATGCTATTTTATGCACGGGACATTTGCTAAACAGTCGTTCGGTTTTAATCTCGATAAAATTTGTTTTATTTGCATCGTCGGAAATGTAAAAATGTTTATGCGATTCGTTTGGCGTTAATGTGACGTTTTATTCTTTATGAAAATTGTGACGGGATAAAAACTGAGTAAAATGTTGTTCGTGTTTGAAGCGTTGAATTTTAAACATTTGTGGGCTTCAGAGATTTTAGGTTTTAAAATTTTTGACTTTTACTGAAGCCCAAAGAATTACTAAACTGAAAAGTTTTGTAGCTGAGAATTTTAAGACATCCTTTCAAACATTCAAAAATTTATAAAATTGACTATTTAGAGAATTTAGAAAAATGTTCGGTTATTAAAAAATTTAAGGACGTATCAGTTTCTAAATACCGAAATTAAGAGAATTTCAAATGGCTGTCGAAGCTACGTTATTTATGGAACCGCGTGATGTATTCACTTCAGTTTACGGTGTGAAGAGAGGTGATTAACCCCGTGACAGAAATATCTTACTTGTCGAAGTACTGTATTACAGGATCAGCAGCGATGTCGCTCATATCGATTTTACTGCCATATTTCTTGACGGACGGGTGTCGTTTAACCATCAGCCACCCCATATGAGAAAAGAAGAATCCGCGTCTAGCATCGTGTGGATCCGCCGTAGTTTCCGTATACCTGTGATGGGTTCTGTGATCTCGTATCCAGTTGTAGAAACGCGTCTGATCAAATAAAAGACATTTATGGTGTCGTTTAAAAGAGTAGTCATGAATGGAAGGAGAAGCAATTCTTGTGAACCTACTTGTCCAGCCATGCAGTATAAGCACGCTAGAAAAATACGTAGAGGAACCTTAGCCGAGTAACTTTTGTGCGCCCATAGGCGATGGGCACCTGCCGTTATTCCGTAACCAGACGTCACACCGTAGGTGATATCTTCATCAAAAAATTCACAAAAATTACAAATTTTTTCATTTCTTTAACACTTTGCACTTCGCTGAAGGGACATTTTAAGTGGCAAAATTTCGGAGCGCAAAGGGTTAAAGCAAAATATGGAGATTCGGGGACTTAGGAAGTTTGAGATGTGGGCATTTAGGGATTTGCTGAATTTGAGATCAGAGATTTTAGTATTTGGACACTTTTGAAATTTTGAGTTTTGGAAATTTTTTAATTGAATTTTTAGTGTTGGAAATTTAAGAAATTTGGGGAATTTTGAGAATTTCATAATTTAGTGTTTAAGATTTGGAGATCTGAGAATATGAGAATTCGAAAATTTGAAGATCTTGAAATTTGGTTATTTCGGGATTAGTGTGCTTGGGAATATGAGAATTTGAAAATCTACAAGTGTTAGGCTTGAAAATTTAGAAATCTGGATTCTACAGGTTAATACATAAAAACATTGGACCTGGACTATTCACAAATTTTTCAAATTGAATCGTTAAAAATTTGGGAATTCGAATCTTCAAACATTTGAGGATTTAAATATTAAAAAATTTGAGAATTTGAATGTTTAAAAATTAGGGAATTTGAAAATTTCTAGCTTCTGATATTAGCTGCACGAGATATTCTAGAGAGGCGTAAGTCAGTGTCATTCAACGAACGTGATACGATCTTTTAAACACAATCCTGAATCGAATTCCGGATAGCTGTCTAAAAGTTTCCCGGATATCCTGAGTGATTAATCTTCGAATGACGGTAGCCTGATCCATCATATCTCACTTTTATGAAATGGACACGATAATGCATCGATTAAAACTAGATAAATTTCATATTTTTGTTACAAACGAGAAAAATTGATTTGACTATTCGGAGTTCAATGCAAAAGTAAACTTGAATATTATAACAGTGTGCGACTAATTTAAAGTACTTACGTAAGAAATGTTAACAAAATGTTAGCACAGTACTAACAATGTTATTAACAAAGTATTAACAGAGTATTAACAAAGTACTAACAAAGTACTAACAATAGTATTAACAAAATACTAACAAATTATTAATAAAATGCTGAGAAGGTACATACAACGTATTGACAAAATACTATCAAGATATTAACAAATTACTATCAAGGAATTAACAAACTAATAATAATAGTATTAACAAAGTATTAACAATAGTATTAACAAAATACTAACAAAGTATTAACAAAATGCTAAGAAGGTACATACAACGTATTGACAAAATACTATCAAGGAATTAACAAACTAATAATAATAGTATTAACAAAGTATTAACAATAGTATTAACAGAATACTAACAAAGTATTAACAAAATGCTAAGAAGGTACATACAACGTATTGACAAAATACCATCAAGGTATTAACAAACTACTAATAATAGTATTAACAAAGTATTAACAATAGTATTAACAAAATACTAACAAAGTATTAACAAAATGCTAAGAAGGTACATACAACGTATTGACAAAATACTATCAAGGAATTAACAAACTATTAATAATAGTATTAACAAAAGTATTAAAACCAATAATAAAAATAAAAATAGTAACGAAATCCTATTATTCGAGAAATCGGTGGAGCAATTAAAAATTTGTAATTCGATACGAGCACAGAAAAAGATCGATACCGTAGAAAGTCACAACAGATGGCCACTGTAATCAAGTCTGAACGCAAAGGGTTTAATCCAATCTCAATTTGTAACACGAGATACGGAATAAAATCGAATAAACAGTCGGCAAAGATTGGATAAAAGCAGGGGGAAAAATCTATTTGGAATTCTGTACGAATAAAACGGAACAAAGAGGAAGAAATAAATCTGAGAACCGACGGATTTCCTAAACGAAATGGAGGCGACGTTCGATATATACTTACTCCAAATCCACGTCCAGAACTTGGCATCTCGATAGCCGTTCATGAAACCGTAAACGGCGAGGAAATGAAGCACAATGATACCAATCACATTTTCCCATATTATAGGTTGCCTAGCCGGGATTTTCTCGGTTGGTAGCGGTAACGGCTCTGCGTCCTCTTCCACCTTTCCATTGTCGTTTTTCTTCTCCTCGTACTGAGTCACCGTCGAGCTGTACATTCCTGCAATTTCCGTTCCTAATACCACAATTATGGATTTTAATAATCTCGTTATCGTCAGTCAGTTAACTTTCGATATGACGGTTACTCGCGTTTCTTAGTTTCATATCGAAATCTTCGTATTATCTACCCATTTCGACTCGATGGTTATTCAAATACTACTGCAATTCTCATAATAATGCAGCTTTTATCATAATGCGACATTAACCCCCTGTGCCATTTATTTACCAGATGCGTCAGTCAAGACTATTCAGAGCTACAACATTAAAACGAATAAGGAAAATTAACATGTAACTATTTTATAATTAGATAACACAACTTATAGTTGAGTCTAAATTTCAAGTTGAAGAGTATAAGGTTTGTCGCGTTTGAGCTGTGAGTGCGTCACGAGCGAGACTCGTCAAAGCACAGGATGAGCTACCAGCGTATTTACTTTTTTTAATAAATTTTAATTAAAAGGCTTTTATTTATTTTATTTTTAGCAGTGTATAAACCACAGCCGCTATACGATTTTATCAAAAATCAGTTTACGTATACCCTCTGGCTATAATTTTAACATGTGGTCTAGAAACCACGCCCGGGTTAAGTAAAAGTCTGCCTTCGTCAAATAATTTTCCCCCTAAAATCATGTAACTCAAAACATTTTTTGCATCGTTATTCCCAAAGATATTTAATTAGGTCCATTTAAAGGAAACACCCCATACAATTATTAAATTACATCCTATAGCACTTATTACAGTAAAAAGGTAAAAAATTATAGTTCTGCAATTTGCAGTAAAAAATTAAGAACAGTTGCAATTTCTTCATGTAGGTTCCTGAACACCTGGAAACATTATAGATTATCATTGAAAGTAAAAGCAAATTGTGCACCAATCATGATAGTGAAATTTACTGATGAGTGACGGAAGTGGGTAAATTATTGCAAATTTTTTCTCATCAGAGAGGAAACAATCTGTTCCGCTTTTTGCCTTGAAAGTTTGTGATCTATCATATGAAATGTACAACATCACGCGTGCTATTCAAACTATTTTGATTGCCTTCATTACAGCGTTCGATCAATTTTATCGACCATCAGATTAGCCATTGGCGCGGATGCCAATTATGCATCAATCGTTAAGTTACGGCACAAAAAGCAGTGATTGCTTTCGTATCGTAACGTGAACGGCACTCGCTGTTCGACGCTGATGATAGAAACCAGTATGTCCGGTTTCAAGAGAGCGAGTATAATTCGATTGATGAATGCGGTTGGGGAATCACGCGGAGCCAAGGTGAGATTGACATTTTATGAGGCGTTTCTAGTGAAAGATATTGCAAGTTCAAGGCCGACTAACTTTCGCTAAGTTGCTGAGAACAACGTCTGCAAAGTGTAGAAGTTTACAAATATGCAAATTTATGAATTTATAAATTTTAAAGTATGTGGAGCGAAGTTTAGAATTTGTAAGTACACTTGTAAGTTTGGAAATTTGAACTTTTGGAAATTTGTTGGGGCGAAAATTTATGTGGGAGAACTTTTATGGTCCTAATTATTTGGAGGCTCAATTTGAGGATTTATGAGCTTGGGAAGTTGACAATTTTTACATTGCAAGATTCTTTAAATTTCTGCGTTTCTGCGTTTCTGAAATTCTGCATTTTTGCATTTACAAATTTCTGCGTTTCTACATTTCTGAAGTTCTGCACTTTTGTATTTCTAAATTTCTGTGTTTCTACAGTTCTAAAATTCTGCATTTCTATATTTTTGCAATTTTGCACCTTTTTCCTTTTTTGCATTTTTATATTTCTAAATTTCTGTGTTTCTACATTCCTAAGTTCTGCATTTGTGCATTTTTATATTATTACAATTTTGCATCACTGCATTTCTGCATTTCTGCATTTTCACACTTAAAAATTTGCAGATTCGTACATTTCAACATTTTTCAATTTGGAAATCTGAAAGTGTGAAAACCTCTCGAAAATCGCCACTTCAGAAGTGATATTACACAAATAGAATTAAAAGTGTTACAAATATAATTGATTTATTGGAGAATGTAAAACATATAGTTTTAATGATTCATCTTATATTCATTACCGCTCTAAATTTCTGAGACACTCGGTATATCAATAATTTCTAACTCTCTCAAGTCGATGGTTCATATGTCACACCACATTTAGATATCGCATTATAAACCAAACTAAATGATACCTCATCGGTCATAATTCATTTTATTGGTCAAGGTGAAGGAAAGCGAGAAAAGTAATGAGAGAGAAAACTGGAAGTGCTACGTTCGCTACACAACATGCATTTAGAAAGTCATGGCTGTATGAACACTTCTCTGATAAAAGATCATCTGAATTATAGATGAGAATACAAATTATCACACTTTCCTTTGCATTGAAAAAATTATTATAGGTTGTTTCATATCAGATTGTCTATTTCTATCCATAAGAAATCTTGAAGAATTTAATGACCTGAAGAAATTGCAGAACAACATTTGTATTAGAAGAAAGTTTAAGATTCAATGAAAATGATTATACAAATATTTTAATAATATCGTTGAGTTTTTTCTTGTATTGAGTTGGTTTCTAAATTATCTTATTTTACATTTGTCTGAGTTTATTCATTTCTAAAACTTGTAGGCTTTTAAGTTATAGTTTTTTGGTTTTTTAGTGCTCCATTTTCACAATTTTCTAATTTTCTAATTTTCTAATTTTCTAATTTTCTAATTTTCTAATTTTCTAATTTTCTAATTTTCTAATTTTCTAATTTTCTAATTTTCTAATTTTCTAATTTTCTAATTTTCTAATTTTCTAATTTTCTAATTTTCTAATTTTCTAATTTTCTAATTTTCTAATTTTCTAATTTTCTAATTTTCTAATTTTCTAATTTTCTAATTTTCTAATTTTCTAATTTTCTAATTTTCTAATTTTCTAATTTTCTAATTTTCTAATTTTCTAATTTTCTAATTTTCTAATTTTCTAATTTTCTAATTTTCTAATTTTCTAATTTTCTAATTTTCTAATTTTCTAATTTTCTAATTTTCTAATTTTCTAATTTTCTAATTTTCTAATTTTCTAATTTTCTAATTTTCTAATTTTCTAATTTTCTAATTTTCTAATTTTCTAATTTTCTAATTTTCTAATTTTCTAATTTTCTAATTTTCTAATTTTCTAATTTTCTAATTTTCTAATTTTCTAATTTTCTAATTTTCTAATTTTCTAATTTTCTAATTTTCTAATTTTCTAATTTTCTAATTTTCTAATTTTCTAATTTTCTAATTTTCTAATTTTCTAATTTTCTAATTTTCTAATTTTCTAATTTTCTAATTTTCTAATTTTCTAATTTTCTAATTTTCTAATTTTCTAATTTTCTAATTTTCTAATTTTCTAATTTTCTAATTTTCTAATTTTCTAATTTTCTAATTTTCTAATTTTCTAATTTTCTAATTTTCTAATTTTCTAATTTTCTAATTTTCTAATTTTCTAATTTTCTAATTTTCTAATTTTCTAATTTTCTAATTTTCTAATTTTCTAATTTTCTAATTTTCTAATTTTCTAATTTTCTAATTTTCTAATTTTCTAATTTTCTAATTTTCTAATTTCCTAATTTCCCCATTTTCCAATTTTCCAATTTCCCAGTTTCCCAGTTTCCCAAGTTCCAGCTTCCCAATTTCCCAATTTCTGAACTTCCCAATTTCCTAATTTCCAAATTTCCCAATTTCCTAATTTTCCCATTTTCCAATTTCCCAATTCCCCAGTTTTCCAAATTCCAGCTTCCCAATTTCCTAATTTGCCCCTTTTCCAATTTTCCAATTTTCCAATTTCCCAATTTCCGAACTTCCCAATTTTCTAATTTCCCAATTTTCCAATTTCCAAACTTCAAAATTTCCGGTTTCCCAATTTCCAAATTTCCAAATTTCTAAATTACACAATTTCCAAATTTTGCTATGTCTAACTTTCCAAATTTCTAAATATCCCAATTTTCCAGTTTTTCAATTTCTCAACTTTCAATCTCCCAAACCCCATGATCGAAAATCCCACCATTCAAAACTCCCCTTTTGAAATTCATTTTGCTAATTAATTGTTACTAAATTACTATGTAATAAACATTACACTCAATGTTTTAAGTCGTGAATCCATGTCATAAACATAATTTAGCGGTACTTTCATGCCACCAAATTGCCGCAGCCTTTATACCGTATTTCGAAATCGTCTTACTCGATAATCAACGACCTAATAACCAAACTCAAATGTACCGTAAACCCGTTAAAATTATTAATGCTTTTTACGATGCAATTAGCTGCGGGTATCGTAAGTAGCTAAATCGAACGTCATCAAATGGCGTGGAACAATCTCGGATGGGTTCGGAGATTAAACGTGTCGTTTAATGCACGCTCCAATACACTATCTCTTAATCTACGATACCCTTTGTTTCCTATACACACACCATGCACTAAAGACTAACGTTTCCACCCTATGGACAAGTCGATAACATGAAGCTTATTAATTAATGCACACTACCGGGCTTATAACGATGCAATATAATTATTAACTGAAGATTCAAAATGCTAATTTCGTTGCTAGTTCGGTCATTATAATCGGTTAACTATGACACGTGGGAATATATATTAAACATAGATCTGTTAAATTAGAATAGAATAAAAATGTTTAAATGAAAATATATAAAATTGATATGATAAAATACTTATTGTCGAGTACACTGTCATGCTTATTGTCGGATAATAAATTCGAAAATTGTATATTTGCTTTAATATCCGCAGTCTGATTATTATTAGTCAATGGAGTATTACTACCCTCAGGTGGGAAATTGGAATCGATATTCTATATTCCACCTAATTCCCGATGCATTGGATTCCGTGCTTTTTTCGATAAATTTCTTAACCATAGAATAATCTACTGTTCAAGTTTCCTCAATCATTCTAGCAAAGTATTTTCTGTACCTCTCGAACAGAATTATTTATCGGATTCTGACGAAAAGTTTTTCATTATTAAACTTGAAATTACTCGGA